TGTGGGATCCGAACCCTCGGCGGGAGCGCCGCCGCACTTCCCAAGTGGCGCACTGTAGCAGTGCGCCACCGGGCCGGCCCGTGACTGACTTCTTTTACTTAGCATGTTTAAAGGTTAGTTTTGCTGGATGTAGAGTTCTTGGTTGACAGTTTTGTTCTTTTTCATCACTTTGAATATGTTATTACAGTGCCTTCTAGCCTTCATTTTTTCAAATGAGAAGTTAAGCATTAATTGAATTATTCCACTGTTCATGAGTCATTTTTTTCTTGCTGTTTTCAAGATTTTGTCATTGTCTTTCAGCAGTTTGACTATGATGTGCCTAGGTTAGACTTCTTAGTATTTATCCTACTTTTGGTTACTTCAGATTTTTGGATGTGTAAATTAATGTTTTTCATCAGTATGGGGAGTTTTCAGACATTATGCCTTCAGGTTTTGTTTCTGCCCCTTTCTCTCTCTTTTCTCCTTCTGGTATTCTTCTTACAGAAATGTTGGTAGGCTTGATGTTTTCTCATAATCTATGAAGCTCTGTTTATTATTCTTCAATTTTTTTTCTCTTTGTTCTTCAGATTGGATATTTCTATTGATCTATCTTCGAGTTCACTGATTCTTTTGCTATTTTGAACCTGCTAGAGATTTATTGTACTTTCAACTCTAGAATTTCCATTTGATTCTGTTTTATTCATATTCTAAGTAAGAAACTTCTTAGTACCACATCATCAGTGCCCTTACATTTGCTTTCTTCATGCCTTTTTCGTTGGATAAAAATTTGAGATTCTTGAGATCATCAGCAATATGGGTTTATAAAAGAGAAGTATCAAGGCTAAGTGGCCTTAATGGGGCTGTCTGCTTTATTCTTGTAGGCCAACCTGACCATGAGACTATGCTGCCTAACAATTTTAACCCACGGGTAGATCATATCCAGCCTCCCTTTCCTAGGTCCTTTTGTTATTTGCCTCAGCCTCAGATTGTCGTGCCATTATGGAACTCATACCTTGGGTGAGATTTTACTCCCTCTTCAAAAAGATAAGGTTTTGTTCTCCATGCCCAAAAGTTAAACACAGGTTAATACTGTGTTTTCTACAGCATGAAACTTGTGTAATAGGTGATTTTAGGTGTTTCCAAGTCAGATCAAGAACAGTGAGAACATTATTCCCTTTTCAAGTCTTTCAATTCTGATTCTATCTGGAAAGAAGTCTTAGTTGGATACTACTATGTCTTAAAACCTCTCTTCAGAGTTGCTGCTCTCATTCTCAGGGAGTGCGCCAAGCCTCTGTCACCAATATCTGGCTAGAATTGTTTTATTTTTATTGTATTTATTTTTGCTGGTATCTGCTTAAATTTGTGATCTAAAGATTCCTTTCTGGGCCGGCCCGGTGGCGCACTGCGCTAGTGCGCCGCTTGTGAAGCGCGGCGGCGCTCCCGTCGAGGGTTCGGATCCCACATACAGACCGGTTCCCGCTCACTGGCTGAGCGAGGCGCGGGGGCAGCGCCGAGGGTTGCGATCCCGTTGCCGGTCCCGGTCCGGTACAGGGGCAACACTGAGGGTTGCGAACCGTTGCCGGACATGGAAAAAGACAAAAAAAAAAAAAAAAAGATTCCTTTCTACAAGAAGTTACTTAGGGTTGGCTGGTTAGTTCATTTGGTTAGAGTGTGGTGCCATAACACGAAGGTCATGGATTCAGATCCCCATACTGGCCAGCCACCCAAAAAAAAGAATAAAAGAAGTTACTGAGTAAAGAAAGTTGGTGTACATAAAGTACTAGCATCGGTGGTGTGAGAACACAGCATGAGTCGTGGCAGCAGGAGGTGAGGGGTGACTAGGTCTGCTGCTGTCCTTTACTCAGTGTCTATGTTTGAGGCAGGGTTCAAGGACAGTGCTGTTGAGGTAGTATTTGTAGTATTTGTCAACTCAAAGATTTTTTTATTTTCCCCTCTGTAGTGGAGCACATGATCCAGAAGAACCAGTGTCTCTTCACCGACACCCAGTGTAAGGTTTGCTGCGCCTTGCTCATTTCTGAGTCCCAGAAGCTGGCACATTACCAGGTATGCCATTGTAACTTTAGAACTGCTTTATTTTTCAGACGCAGTGTCAGGCCCCCACTTCTCCCTGGCTTGCACAGTGAAGTGTAATTCCCTCTTAGCTGCCAAGATGTTGCCTCCATGCGTGTTGGCTTGTGACTTGAAGATTGACTTAATTTCCCTGAGTCTCACCTGTCCTATCCAGATCAGGATCATGTGTATATTCCCTTGCAGTTTGGTGTAGTAGAAATTATGAGCTTTGTCTTTAAATGAGTTTGAATCACAACTCTGCTACTCACCTTGAGCAAGAAACATCACTGTCTTCAGCCTCAGTGTCCTCATCTGTGAAATAGAGATGATGATCTCATAGATTGTTGTGAAGATTAAATTTGGTATCATATAAAGTACCTCACACTCAATAAACTAAGTTTCTTCCCCCACCCTCTCCTCTTCACAAATTTTTGCGAGGATGAATCAGATGACAATCTAGTAAGTGTTTTAGAGTGCCTTAGATATGAAACAGCATTTGACTATCTTTGATCTTTTTCCTGGGTTCTTGCAGAGCAAAAAACATGCCAACAAAGTGAAGAGATACCTGGTAATCCATGGAATGGAGACATTAAAGGGGGAAACAAAGAAGCTAGACTCAGATCAGGTAATGCAGCTGCCACGTTGAGACTGTTTGCTTCCTGATGAAGCCAGCAGGCAGTTTGGCTTCAAATCCCACCCCTGTTGTGTGACTTGGGCAAATCTTGTTACTTCTCTGAGCCTTGATTTCTTCCTCTATAAAAATGAGGATGCTGTCACCACCTTTCAGGATTTTTCAAACTAAAATGAGGGAAGGTTTATAAAAAGCACCCAGCACAGAGCCTGGCACATAGTAGGGACTCAGTAAATGGAGCCATTGTTATGCATTACCGCCCAGTGGTTTGTTGGAGCAGGAAAAGAAGGTGCCCATTCCTAGGAAAAAGTAGAAGAGGGCTGCTTGCTTTCTTGAGAACCAGGGAAAAGACTTGAATGTTTTGAATACATAAGTAGAAGAAACACCTTTCCAAATGACTGTTCTGATTGAGAGGTAATTGTATTTGCTTTTTGGCTCAGAAATACTGTAAGAATTATGCTGAAATAACTCCCAGTACCTCAGAAGTATCATTATTTTTGTTCTGTAGGAGGCTATGCAAACATCATGGGATGAGAAGTCAACAGACTGGGACCCAGTCCTGGCTCTGCAACTTACTAGTTGGGTGACTTTGGACAAGTCACGTAATCTCTCTGAACTTCACCCATAGAGTAGAGATAAATCCTACTTCTTAAAGGTATTGTAAAGTGAAATTCCCATTCCTAGTAGATGCTCAATAAATAAGAGTTTACTCTGCAAACTGCTGCCTCCTATTATAGTGGTCATGGGTTTAGAAGGGCCTTGCTTGTCCCTTCTCAAAACTCACTGGACTCTTCCAGACCCCTAGTTCCACTGCTTATGATTTACAAGTCAGGAAGACAAGATTGACTCTGTGACCCTGGGCAAGTAATTTCACCTATTTGCACCTTGGTTTCTCATACTCTCGGGGTGGCTCAGTAGTTCAGATGAGATCACAGTACACCTTATCCCCCAACCCACCCTGCTGCCAAAGAAATACCAAGCCCAAAATATCAGTAGTGCCAAGCTTGAGAAATGTTGAATGAATACTCTATTCAGAAATCAGACTTTCTCAGAGAGAGTTTGGGAACCCTTAATATAGGCTTGAAACATGTCATTTTCTAACCTAATCATAATCAGCAAATAAAACCCAATGATCTGCTTGTTCAGTAGATCCTGAGCATCTACTGTGTGCCAGACTCCAGCTGGGTGCGAGGGATAAGAAACAAACATGAGTCAGATAGTCCGTGCCCAAACGTTGTGCCCAAAAGTCTCCTAAGCTATGACACTGTCAGTTTAGGGTGGCAAGTGGTATGACTGAGGTGTGTTTAATGCTCTCTGGGAGTACAGAAGAGGAACAAGTTTAATTCTTCCTGGAATATACACACAGAGGGGGTTGATAATTGTTTGCTGAATTATTTTCTAAGTAAAAGTGTCCCAGAAGAGCTGATATTTAAACTGGGCCTTGAAGCCTAAGCAGACATAATGCCAGGCAGGAAAGGAAGGAGGAGCATTCTAGACAGCAGGAATGGCCCAAGCAAAGCAAGGAAGCAACAGAAAATAAAGTGGGGAATGGCGAGTAGAGACTGAGACTGAGTAGCTAGAGAAGAATCCAGAAAGGTAGGTTGGGGTTAACGTGTGAAGGGGGCTTTAAATGCCCATTCTCCTATGGGCAGTGGGGAACCATTGAAGATTTTCTGGCTGGGCAGTGGCATGATCAGACCTGTGTTCTTTCTCCCAACCAGAAGAGCAGCAGAAGCAAAGACAAGAACCAGTGCTGCCCCATCTGTAACATGACCTTTTCCTCCCCTGTTGTGGCCCAGTCGCACTACCTGGGGAAGACCCACGCAAAGAACTTAAAGCTGAAGCAGCAATCCACTAAGGTGGAAGGTACTGGTTTTCCTGAGTAGAGCTATATCAGGACCCCTCCCGTCCTCAGGGCACCATTGCCAGATGCTCCTAGAAATGCTCACTTGGGCCACAGACTTGGAGAGGTTGAATTGCTTTTGAGAGCTCTTAAAAATGTCAAAGTAGACTCAGCTTCACTGAAATGCAACTCCAGACTTGTCCTCACCTAACCTCCCTTTCTTTGGTTATATCAATTTTTCTCTGTAGAGGCTTCTTAGCCTAAGCTTTTGTATTAACTAATAATTGTAACTCAAGAGTGCCAAAGTCCTCCAGGCCACACATACTATGAGAACATTCTATCTCCTACCTCTCCCACTTAAATTTTTCCCTCCTAGCATGAACCTGCCCTTATTACTATGTATGCCAAGTTGAAAACTACATCCTTGTCTCCTTCACATGCTCAGGTTATGCCCTGCTCACTTTAATCCTCAAAAGCTGTCTACTCAAGACAGGGACTTGCCTTTCAAAGCTGAATACTTCAGTGCTGCCACCACTGCCCAGTGAGCTGTTTGCAGCTACCATGAATTCATTCCCAGTGCTGTGACTTTTAAAATAGCCCTCTTTATCTTGTCACCACTGGGGCTCAGCCCTTACTTTCATCTCATTAACTCCTGACTTTCTGGGGTTTTTAACCTCTGCTAAGTGCAATTAGTCAAGAGTGAAAGTACTTTGATCTTTATTTCATTTTTTTTCTTGGTAATTTTTGCTTCGCTATTTTGGGCCAAGAAGTAGACTACACTATAATACTTATTCTTTTTGTTGTACGTATTATGAAAACAAGATAACAATGTTTTGGAAGGCTTCGAAGATAGAGTGAAAAATCATTCATAATTATACCCTCTTATCACACCCAAATCTAGTTATTCATGGTATCAAACAATAGAATATGGACTTTGAGGTCAAGTTTATCCTGGCATTGCTTTTTACCATTTGTGTGACTTCTCTGTGTCTGAGTTTCCCTACCTATAAAATGTTAATAATGCTATCTACTTCATAAGTTGTGAGGATAAAATAATGTTTATAAAAAACCTAGGGGACTGGCTGGTTAGCCCAATCAGTTAGATCATGGTGCTGATAAAACCAAGGTCCAGGGTGTGATCCCTGTACTGGCCAGCTGCCCCCCCCCAAAAAAAAGAAAACAAAAGAAAAACCTAGGACATAATAGATGCTCAGTGAATGACAGCTGCCATTATTAGTAGTGTAACCATTAAGATAGTTAATGAGTGGAATTCCCCTGTAAAATGCAGTAGTTGGTCAGGCATCCACCACGTGGAGCATGTCACTGGCCTTGCTTATGATCGATTCATCGTTAACTTATGCATACTGATGGCTTTTGTTTAAAGTCAGCATTGGTACCAATGATGGTACCAGCAGTTAAAGCATTAGGTCAAAGGAAGTTAGCTTAAGAACCGAACTTTATAAGGTCACAGACTTATCTTTCTATAAATGGGAAAATTCCCTGGAATATAGTTGGTCCCCAAAATTCCATACTCAAGAAGTTATTTTCCATATTTATTTTCTTCCTTTGCCACATGCAGATATATTTTTATATAGTTGTAACCATAAAGCATGTATCATTTGCATCCTGCTTTTACTTGTCATTTAACTTTGTAGTTTAAGCACATTTCCATGTTATTATACAAGTTTATAACTATATTTCTGCAATTAAACATTTTCCTAATATAAAAGTAATATAAGTTTGTTGTAGAAAATATGGAAAATACAGATTAAATGGGAAAAAAATTACCCATAACTTTACTATTTAGAGAAAACTACTGTTAACATTTTTTGAGTACTGTTTCTCCTGTAATCTTTTGTTATGTGTATGTGTGTATATACAAGGGGACTTCAAAAAGCTTGTGGAAAAAAATTAAATTAAAAGATAAAAATTAAAAATCTAAACTATATTTCTCAACATAAGCCCCATCAAGTTGAAGACACTTTTGTAAGCAATGATACCAGCCAGGGTATCCCCAGGGTCCTGGGAATTTAACCATGTCAGTGCAGTCTTTTTTACATTATTAACTGAAGAAAAATGGGTGTCCTTTAAGGATTTTTTTAAGATTAGGAAGCACTAGCCAACCACCAAAAAGAAAAAAAAGAAAGAAAGAATGTTGGGGCTGGCCAGTTAGCTCAGTTTGTTAGAGGGTCGTGCTAATAATGCCAAGGTCCAGAGTTCAATTCCTATACCAGCCAGCTGCCAAAAAAAAAAAAGATTAGGAAACAAAAAGGAGTCAGTAGGAGCCAAATCAGTACTGTAAAGTGGATGCCTCAAAACTGTCACAGAATTGCCGTTGTTTGATGAGAGGAATAGCAGGAACATTGTCCTGCTGGAGAAGGACTCTCTGGTAAAGCTTTCCCAGGCATTTTTCTTCTAGAGCTTTGGCTTATTTTCTCAAAACACTCTCATAATAAGTAGATATTATCATGCTTTGGCCCTCCAGAAAATCAACAAGCAGAATGCTTTGAGTATTCCAAAAACCAGTTGCCATGACCTTTGCTCTTGACCAGTCCACTTTTGCTTTGACTGGACCACTTCCACCTCTTGGTAGCATGGCTTTGATTGTGCTTTGTCTTCAGGATCATACTGATAAAGCCATGTATTATTTCCTGTTACAATTCTTCAAAGAAATGCCTCAGAATCTTTTTTTTTTTTTTTTCCTTTTTGTCTTTTTTCGTGTCCGGCAACGGATCGCAACCCTCAGTGTCGCGCCCGTACCGGACC